GCCGGGAGGCGTCTGGCGGTGAGCAGATGCGCTAGGTTTCAGCATCCCTGGCTCGGTGGCCTTTTCAATCTGTTTTCCAATTCCCTTTTTGGTATCTCTTCCCGTGTCAGTGGCGGGGGACAATTTTTTCCATGATGTGCTGATCCTTTCCGCTGTCCTGGCGATCTGCTCGAGGTGGTTTGGAGCGGTCGATGACTTGGAGCCGGGTTCATTCCCGATAGCTCCCAAATCGATACGTGATTCTCTATTCTGGGCCGAACGAGCGAGGTGCCGATGGGATCCAGGCTGCATGGGTATGGGCATGGTTATGAGGGAGGTGTAAGTCGGACTTGCGGGTGGTAAGAAACTGTTTGGGGTACGTTAGATATTTAAATAGTCACAACCGTGGAATTGCTTTAGCCTCTGATTCCTCACAGACCTGTTTACATACATTAAACATTAAGTTGTGTTGTTCCTGCAAATTTCCAAGGTTATAAAGTTATATGCCTCGAGTTTTAGGACCAAAAAATATTCTTCGGCCATTTACGTGCCGTTTCGCTTAGATCATCTCACTGATCTGTCCAATTATTACAGTATCCAATCTTACATCCTAAGTGATAACCGACACTGAAATCCTTTCCCGAAGAATCGAAGAAAATGACTAGTTCTCCTCAAGCGGACCCATACATACATATTGGTCATTTGCTACCTGACAGAATGGAAATCCACAATGCGCAATAGAAGTCCAAGTGAACGGGGTATTAGCAGTGATGGTCGAAGTCAGCCACGTGTTCGGATCGGAAGGTTGTTGAGTACATTGAAGCTGGAACTAGTTAGTGCTGTAGATGGCTCCCTTGAACGCATATGACTCACTATGTCAAAACAATTGTCCGAGCATGCCAGGGCGTCTGCCTGGCTCATGTCGCAAGTAGAACCTTCGAGGACAGTAAGTGCATCGCCAGGACATTGACGGCGAAAAAGGCTTGGCGTATCGAAAGGCGTAGACATGACCAGCTGCACAGAGGTTGTAAGAAACACTAAGAGTCGTTTGAATTCGTGCATGTTACAGACTTTCTCAGTACAACAATAGTTCTTGGATATGTGGTGATACAGTCCTGTGGAAACGGTAATCAGGGCGACTCCAAGGGAAATTTGGCGGTAATTATATGTGAAGTTCTTCGTAGACACAGAGTGTCGATCCTCAGGGCTCCAAGGTCTAGATGTGATCACTTTCTGAACACTCGATGCTCTGAGTTTTAATATTAGAAATACAATACTTGAAGATTGACCTAAATTTGGGATCAAAATCGGCAATGGGGAAGAATCTGGTATGAGTATGTATAGAGGCACTCAGCGCAGTAAAGTTTACTGTAGTAGTGCTGACGTGCGATTCTGAACTTAAATTGATTTTTCGTGGGTTATAAGTCTTGTATTATTCTCTCAGCCTGCTCGATGGAGGAAACACGTCCGGACACAGCAGCTTTAAGGTATTAGATTTTACATTTCACAATTTGGCCTTCAATCCCTTTCACTCACACCCAGTGCCTCACCCACCTATACAGTAACAATACATCAGGGCCTGTGCGCGTCAATGGAAATTTTTATAGATGATCTGTACAATTGTGGTTGATCGCCAAGCCAAGCTTTTAGCGTCAGGGGCTACAGCCTCGCACCCATCTCAGAACTATGGCGCACCTAACACTTCCGTTGTTTTTCACTCTCAACCATATGCCAATCAATCACTGAGAATATCAGCTCTTCTCTGTATTGCAGCAAGATCATGCTCCGTTTAGTGACGCTTGGGTGCACTCGTCAGCGCTTGCATTATTAACATGACTCGCCTCCTGGGTTTCAAAAGCTTGGGTTCCTTGTGTCGTGGTTTCCTCTTCCTGAGGGAAGTCCTTCTCATCCGTGTCCTCATAGAAAATGTTGACCCAGCCATACCCCTGATCGCATTCCCTTTGTGTGTCTTCTTGCCGTAGGGGCACATCTACCAGTGCCGTTTGGTCCGCGGCGTAGAGATCGTAATTGAAGAATTGGCCTATTGTGGTGACGGTATTCGTAGATGAAGGGGTTGATTCAAATGCCAGTGTATCGAAATTTCTGTTAGAAGGAAGGATAGGTAGGTCATCTTGGCTTGACACTGCGGTGTGAAAATCAGCGGAAAGGTGAGACTCATCCGTGGTGGTTTTGTCACTGGCAATCGACGCGTCAGGGCCAACTAATTCACCCGCAGCCGAGCCGCGGCCAGGAGAGTATGTTCCTGAACATTGGTGCAGCAAGCTTTCAACCGGAAGAAGGGTGGCTTGAACATCTTCGAGCACTTCTCGGTCAAAGCGGGACGAGGAAGGAGATCCTCCCCCCGGTGAGAAGAGTCGGCGATACGTCGTCCATCGAATGACGGTCCAGTCACGAATCGTCCGGTGGGAAAGAGCATTCCCGGCCAATCAGGCTCCTGGCAGGCTCGACACTCTGATAATGCAGGTGAGAATGTAGATACGAGAAGTCAGGCAAGGTTGAATCATTCTAGATTACCGCTCCACGGGTCCATCGATAGTTATAGTAAAGTATGAGTACGTTTTAAGAAGTAATGCAATCTGAGCCTTGACAAAGGGATTGAGAAGGGAGTGAGAGCTCTTCGAAGACAACTTCAGCAGGGGACCAAATCATCTTTCTTGCTTGTCCTCGGGGGAGAGCAAAGATGACTGTCCATTGGTGGGCCATTCCCAGGATAGGTTCGTGGTAATTCCAAAAAAGGAGCCCCCTTGGATTGTCTTTCTATTTTTATCCTACCCTTACTGTGGGTATTCTCGAATGATGAATGATAACTTTTGGTCCTTCCATAGTTCTGTTGTATTGTACGTTCCTGTATGTACGTACATGATAGGTTTTATTCATGCCAAGAGACAGTACAGTATTTGTCAAGAACTCAAAGGATGGACAATTTTCGGGCTGGAAATCGAGGAGAATCAACAGGAGGATCGATGAAAGCGGACGCACTCTTCTGAAAAAATGGGCCAATTATTCCTTCGCATTCACTCATTGATCATAATGCCCTTTGAGCCCTGCGCAGGGCAGTGAGAATATCATTTTTGGTCAACAGTCTATCGATGAGAGAGCCTTGAACTGAAGGCAATTCCACGAAATGCACAAGAATTTTCAACTTTCCTCATTTCAGGGGCCTTATAAATATGACTACGCTCCCAGATGACATCCAACGTCCTGAGAGCGGGCGAGAGTTGTTCGTTTTCAACGTATTGATATAGTGCCGAGCAAAGAGTGTCACTTCTTCCACGCTGGGCCATGACCAAGATCAAGAATTTTAACGACGTTGGAAATGAGACCATTCGTGCAAGAGGCTCACAACCATCTTCCAACTTCACGGCTTCTGTTGCTGGTAATGTGAGCTTGGTAAGATGTCGATATCCGGTGAGATCAAGGGGCTGAACCGGTGTGGAGGTGGTCCAGGTATCGATGGTCAGTACCTCTAGGGTCTGTTGACATTGATAGAGCCCTGCGCTGATCCCCTGTGCCACTGCTTTGGCATGATACCATGGCACTCCCGGAGTCATACCTAAAATAGGTTGCAATTCGAATCGGCGTAAATTTTGGCAGCAGCTAAGCAACGATGCGACCTCAGCTTCATCCATGTGAGGATGAAAGAGACCAAGGTAACGAAGAGGCGAGGTTATATCCCCGACCGCGTTCGGAAGAGAGTACCCGCGCAGACTCCAAGATCTGAAGATTTCCAAGGAGGGCAGCCGCAGAATAGACTTCACGTCCACGCCAGCGTCTTCGTTGGCGAAAAGGCTGAGACTGGCTAAATTTGTGAACGGGAGCCCTCCCTTGACATCGATGCTGGACCATCTTATCAATCTGTTCAGGTATTGTGCTGATCTTCCGAGCTGCAGCTCGACCTCCACGAGACGATGCAGCTGAGAAAGTATGGAGGAGATCCAGATTGCACCGTTGTTGACTTGAAGATCCTCGGCCACCTGTGGAATGGTCGAATGCCACCTCTTCAGAGGTAGCAAGAAATATCTTTGCGCTTCTTCTTGAGCAGTTATTGTGTCCCGCATAATCGGTCTCTGCTCGCGATCGGAAATGGCCTGGAGTTCGATTTGCTCAAGAGCTCCTGCTTCGAAGTATTGTACCAGCAATCCTAGATCAGGATGTTCTGAGAGTGTCCGAGCGAAATGAACTGCGGCTCTTGGAGAAGGCAAAAATACGGCCTTATATATCAATTCTCGTGCGACAACGTGAAAGCGTTTCGAAGTCAGTGAGATTGCGAACAAGTTGCCACAGGTGTTACTGGTGCCGTAAGGCTTGATCGACAGGTACTGGACAACCAGAAAGAGAAGTTCGTGTGGGAGGTCAAATAAATGTGCCATCGGGTCCGTGGACTACTGTATCAAAATCAGTCCTAGAACTTGTTAAATGAGGCATAGGAGACGATCGCATAGCTGCTAAATATCATCCTAGGGCACCAAGTGATATACTTTGATGATTGTTGCCAGGAACACCCTTTCATCCTGCTTATAACTACACTTGCTGGCCAAGACACGAATCGATGGAACCAAGCGGGACTTTATATAGCGCATCTTCATGCGGGAGTTTTGTCAAGGTATTATCTCGATTGCTAATAGCTTTTTTGGTTTACCTTACTTCGCACGATCTGTGAAGAAGCCTTGCTCAATGCTCTGAGATAACATTGCGGGAAAAGAACTGCAATTCTGTGGTAAACCATCAATCATTTTTAGAAGGACCATCCTGTGCGAAGATACAGTAACCTTAACCCAAGAAAAGAAACATGCTGCAATGATGAGGATGAAGACAAGGATGACCCAACTAATCAACGTAGACTGTCTAGTAACTGGAGAATCGAATTGCATGCGTCTCTCAGAGATTCAGGAGGAGTGTCAGACTTCAAGAAAAGTACGATGGTTGAGACAAGCTTAACGGAAAATATATTTCCATCTTATCCTTACCTTGTGCCGCGCCCCTCCCTGGCTCTGCTGTACTGCAGCGTCTTGTGGTACAGAGACAATTTGGCAGCAGTACTGCATATAGTATTCACGGCTTTGGACGTTCGAGAGTACCCGTGGCTGCTAGTGCTTATTTTTGGGTGGAATGAACATCACGTCCTGAGTTCGAAGTCTCTCCGTTCGAAGCTTCTACGTATATGTCGATAGTGTGGTACATATGTTGGCCTTCTTCTATATAAGCAACGCCTTCGAAATATCTTGGTCTGGTTTTACTGTTACAAGATACATGGAGGGTAGCATAATCTTCCAAGCCCTCTTCTTCCCAACTGTTTGGCTCTTATGGGTAGCATTCCTGTTATGTATATCACTGGCTTACAAATCGATTAACAACTCCGCAGCCTTGGACATGGCAAAGGTCACGGATTCCAGAACATTACAGACTGTCCAGAAAGGCAAAGACTGCAGCTACGACGATGGGAGTACCCTTACGTTGTCCACACGACCGAATATACGCAGCCGACTTGTAGAGGTTCTACACCAGCGGTCCAAACACGAGACACACGCCAGTCTCGTTGGTCAACTGCCCGTCGTTAGACATGACCTGGATCGACAAGAGCACCAGCGGTCACCGACAGAGAGACCACGACCCAAAGGTCAGTTGGAAAGCTTTCACGTCGAATACATCGAGCGTTCCAAATACGACCTGGATTGCCAGGAAGTGCTGTATGAAATCAAATGGCTGGGTTATCGAGATGCCGAAAACACCTGGGAACCGAGAGAAAACCTCCTCCCGTAAGGAATTTTGAAGAATTCAATGAAACCAAAGTACACTTAGGTTGACAGACTGCAGTGACTGCTTGATTAACATGCTTGTTCATCATTACCTCGTCGGATCGACGCCGCTTTCATTCCACAAGCCTAATCGACACACAAGTCGACCGGCTTCGGCAAAGTCGGTTAACAAGTCCAGCAGCTCGGCGGAGAGAATTATCAATCATGATAACTTCTCCCTCCACGTCGATTGCATGAACCAGGTTCTTCAAACGGACTGGGAGCAAGAGGTGGTGGAAGTGGAGGATTTACACATCTCAAGTTCTGGGGAACCGGCAGCTGTCGCGAAGCTCAGCGACGGGCAGAGACATGTCTTGACCACCGAATGGCTGGCGCTTCACTGTCCACTGAAAATGTTGAGGTTTTACGAGACGAATGGGACTTTTTAATCTCTCAATGTGGATAGGATAAAGTACTGTACAGGCCCAGAGGGTGAATCTTTTGGCTGCTGACTGCGAATTAATTCCTGTCTGGCTCTAGGTAAATGGTTGTAGACTCGACAGCGGTTGCCAAATATACCGTAGAAGTGAACACTTTGTCTAGTTCGCTTTGTGTTTAACCTTCATTCTTCATCTACAGAAGGCTAGATCCGCCTCGAATACGCAGAAGTTGCTGTAAAACCAGATCTATCGTGCCGTGGTCTGGTGCGATGTCCAACTTGACGAGTCCCTAAAATTCAGAGCCGACCTCCAGGAAGGTCTCAAATTTTCTTCTAATCACCCTGCTGATGTCCTTGTCGATCGTCTGCCAGTGTTGGAAAACTTGGGAATGATGTGTCTATAGACACAGGCACAAATTGGTGGCGAAACTTTTGGTTCACGAATTGGTTAGCTTCAGATAAAATTGCGCGGCACACCCTGAAATCTTGAATCGGAGAGATGGAGGTCGACAAGACAATCCTTGACCACTGTGGACGCGCCCTTGCCTTTGCCCATCGCTAGGGACGGTGACCTGCCACGTCGTCGATACCACTCCCGCATCCAGGCCAAGAAGGGAGAGTCGGCGCCTTTCCGGGTATCGTTGGAGGCGGCCACATAAAGCTGATAGTAATGTGCAAGGTCTATTCGATTCTTCAAGCTTTGGACTTCGGCTCTCAGGGAGTTCCTTTCCAGTAAACGACCCTGTTGTAGGACAAAGTTGACGAAGCTTGGTACGTCGTGGCGTTGAGATATGCCAATCGACGCGGTCGTGTCCATATCCGGTAAAAGTTGCGAAGTAATATCTTGCCACTCTTCTTTTAAGGTAGAGATGAGCGCACCCCGATTGCTCGTCCCGAAACGCTCGGCCAATCCTTCTGGAGTGTGCTCCACTTTCGCCTTCTTTCGTGGGAATCGAACAGTTCGATTTGCACATGTTCTTTTCCTTCCATTCGCGGAACGTGTGCCGCGCACGTCCTCTTCATTGACCATGTCGTTGTCATAATCATCAACCCCTTCCCTCCGAGACAGTCTTCCTGCTCGTTGTCCGCTCTCCTGATATCCTGACTGCGGCACGATACAAGCGGCATTTTGCGGTGACCAACCAGGGTGTTCTACCCCCGTCGAGCACACTTGACCGGCATTCGGTCCTGCCAAAATGGGACTGCCACCAGAATGGCGAGCTTCACATGATTCGCCAACCGCATAACAGCTTGCAGTCGAGCGAGAAACCGCAACAGGTCCAGCATTAGGTGAACCTGAATTGTGCGTGGTCGAATTGTGCGTGATCGAGTGCCTCAACACTGGCATGCTTTTCCGAAAACCTCGTTCCATATGAACATTTTCTCGTGGCGCTGGGCCTCCGCCTGTCTCGAAGGGTTCTTGGTTATTTTCTCGCTTCAGCGGAACTTGTTCTGATTGGTACAACCTCGACCATATGGGGTCTTCCGGCAATGGAGGATCAATCTCGTCCATGGAGCCTGTAAACGGCCGAGTCAAAGGAGATCCGGCAGGCAAAGGATGCAATCCTGGTGAAGTCGAGACGACCTGCTTCTGTAGCTTCTTCAGTGAAAATGTTTTCAGGTGATACTTTGCATAACAATCTCGGCGGTAGCTGGGACGAGCTCACCTTTGGGCCTTGACAGTTGCTGTCGCCTCTGTGTCGCGGCAGGAAAACTTGGGGACTATGCGAACATAGCCAGGATATGGCGTCTTCTAGTGTAGCAGCCACTCTGTCGACGATATCCGTCGGCGGTTCGGTGACAGACTCCAGGCATGCTCTCTCGAATGAATTCCAAAGCTCTTTCAAGCTATCAGGGGTTGCACCGGGATGGACGGAAGATTCCATATCTGCTCCTGTAAAGGAACCGCAGTCAAGACGTTTTCGATTTGGTGTATGAGTTCCAACGATGGGGGGACAATGACTGACTTCCATGAGACCAGGAGTTCGGGAAGCGGCTTTTAAAAGATAGAGGCACGGCGAGAGTGGGGTACTTCTCTATGTGGGCTGTGTGGTTGTTGAAGTCCAGAAAACACCACGGTCTCTACGTCAAATGTGACCCAGCTCCTGAAGCGGGGCGTAATCGCTTGGTTAAAAAATGCTGCGATGTTGTCTTGTCATTTCGACTGTACGGCATCACTGGATGCTGCATTGAGTAGTAGATTTTTTGAGTCCTTTCATTGTGTACTGTAACTATGGCTGTGCCAACGCTAATTAGGCAGACTAAGGCGAGGTCTCAGTCAATACTCTACTCATCCTGCTCGTGTCGCACCGTATTCCACTTTTGTAGATCAAATGTGCGAGTGACATTAGCTTTCGAAAACAACTAACATTGGGTCCAACCGTTTGACTTCGTCAACCACTTCGAATATGGATAAGTAAGACCGACGAGAGCGAGAGATTTCCGTCCTCGCGCCAGTTGTCCATAGTAATTGACCAAATCAGAAGCCACTAGAAATGCCTTCTACGTCGCGTTGCTTTCCCTTCTCCCTAGTTGGCATCATGAAAAGTTAAGCTTGGTGCAGTACAGTAAGAATTGCATGAACCAGGGGATTGATTTCAAGTTTATATCCTATCAGGAAGGGAGAGCTGAAAGTTTACGGTTTAAATATCGGATCACGCTACAACCTGTCCTGACATATGGGTACTTGCCATCAGGTACGGTCACAGAAAAGAGGGGTGAGAAGGAAGTGTGAACAAAAGGGTGAGAGAGAGGGTGAGGGAGAAGAAGAGGGTGCGTGAGAGAAGGTGAGGGTGTGTGAGGGAGAGAGAGAGAGAGATTGAGGAAGAGGGTGAGGGTGAGGGTGTGAGTAAGAGGGGGTTTGAGAGAGGCAGGCAGCGATGAAAAATGGAAGAAAAATCCTGGAGTCAATAGGTGGAGCACAAAAATGTCGATTTTTCTTCCAATTTTCCATCGCTGTGGGATTTGGAGGACCATCTCAGTGCCTTCGCATCCTAAGGAGTTCGTCCTCTGTCGCTCTATGAGTAGCACCCATGAGGATAGTGCACAGGATAGGAGTATTGGGCAGTTACGGTGCTGAGCCTCGGAAGCCTTCTTTTCGTTGCTGAAATAAAGGTGTGTTGACTAGTCCTGTGGGAGGTGGGCCTTTCTTTTCAACTCAGTCCATTTGCAAGTCAGCTCGACATGAGAGCACAATGTCGACTTGCAGAGGTCAAGTCTCCGAGAGGCCATTCCTTGTCCAAAGGCATCAGGAACTGAAACGGGTTTCTGCTCGTCATACTGAGCAAGACAGCATTGACACATTCGTCATTCATCTCGTCCAGCTTGGGCTTGGAGACTCAGAGACGGCAATATAGCTCATTCTCTTGCTCATGTGATTTCATGTCTCGAGTAGACGAACAAGGGAGCGATGATGTTCAGTCATTGTGAAGAGAAGATGTTGAGACGTTGAAGGAAGGGTTCACGCAGGAAGGAGAAAAACGAAGGGGAGAAGTTGGGAAGAGAAAGGGAAGCAAGGGCGGAGGCAGGAGGAATGAGTGAGTGAGAGAGTGAGAGAGTGAGAGAGTGAGAGAGTGAGAGAGTGAGAGAGAGGGTAGGGGGGCGAAAGAGAGAGTAAATCGCGCTGTTCTCATTAGATTATACGGGACTTTTTGCGACAATTTCTTTGCTGCCAGCTGGTTGGCAGCAAAGAAATTGTCGATTTTTTTTCATTTTTGCCATTTTGGGATGCTGAGGCCTTCTTTCACTGTGACTGCGACCTTTTGTAGCTTTCTGATCGATACTCACTCAAGGACCTAATCAGAGTGTTGAAATTGCCCAGGATGACAGGGAGAAATAGCAACATAGTGATACTTGATTTCGCGTCGTTATTTCGACCCTGGAATCAAGAAGTTTGACTGCTGATCCTGTTTGGGAGCGAGTCTTTGGCTCAGTTGGTCCTGGAGAGCAAAGATCAACGGGAAATCAGAATTTGTTGATTTCGCCTTGTGTTTTTCACCGGAAACTGGCCACCTCAGGGCGTTTCCGCTGAACAGGGCAGCGAAGCTTTGGTATGCCTATCGTCCAGTCTCGTTCAGCTGCGTCCTTTGGAGACTTTATAACGGCAATAAAGCTCATCTTCTTGGTTACGTAGCCTGGATTTTATAGCGCGGGTTCTTGCGTAGACGAACGGAAGCGACGTTCAGTGATTGTGAACTGATGAGAGAAGGTTGAGGAAGAGGGAAGGAAGGAAGAAAGAAGGGAGAGGGAAGGAATGAAGGAAGAGGGAAGAAAGGGAAGAGGGGTCTGGTCGGAGAGACAGGATGAACATGATAGATGGAGTGGAGCCCACATGCTCTCGCACTTACCAACATCTGACTGTGATCTCGCACAGTACAGTGTAGGACTACAGTAGTCTCACTATTCTTGAAATTTGCACCAAAAGGGAATAAGCATTAGAAATCATTGATCGGCCAAAAGCTAGAATGGCTGGATCATGCCGTTTTCCTGGTCTTGATTCCAAATACTGTGGCAGCCGGCCATTCGAAAGTGAGTCATTTTTGCAAAGTCAATCCTCTTGGTCTGGAGGGCAAGGTTCAACTCAAAGAGGCGTCTCCCCCAAGGATCTGACCGTCGCAGGGTGATTTCTGCTCCTCAAACGGGGTAGGAGAAAGGAAGAGTACTGTAGACAGAGGGAAGGGGAAGGACAGGACAGGACAGGATGAATGGATGGGTGGAGTGGAGCCCTGGATTCTCGCACTGACCACTTTTCGCTCCGCTCGTCCTCTGACATGTGCTTGCACAAGACTGTACCGTACGAACAGGACGGTCACACCCCTCTCAGGCGTCAGCATTGTCTCCTACCAACCCACTACCCCTCTCGACCTCGCCTTCACTCACCATGGGCCTTTGCCATCCCTACCTAGTACGGTACTGCCGTGACACAGGAGAGACACACTCCCCTCTTACAGTAAGGCAGAAGGTGGTACACTGGCCGGCCCTATCTTAGTCTTGTATGCTGAGTCTGTCTGAGTCGGTGTCTCTCCGTCGTAGTCCGTAACGGAGAATCTTGGAATTCATGCTAAACATTCGTCTGACATTTCCTGTAGAAGGTCGGCACGCCGATGATGCACCAGCTACGACGGTAGTGCCACGGTGTTCTCTTGTAAAGCAGATCGACTCTGGAACGAATGAGAACCCCATCCGAGGAGCAGGCAGCACTAATGCTGCACACCAGGAAGGATGAGTCCTGGTTAATGGCGGTTGGCGACGTCCATGTCAAATGCGGTCCATTCCTTACCGTTGTAAGAGCCCAGTGACTCGATCTTGAACCATGATGTGCGTGCAGGTCTCGAATGCCTGCGGACCTCCTCAAATCCACAGAAGCCCAGGTACCGACAACCTCGAGTCGGGCAGGCAATAACAACCCACGATAGTATTCATGCATGGATGATATGTCCGCCGGCGCTTTTGAACCGCCTTGTTTGTAGACTATGAAGTACGTCATCCCCGAGTTGCATCGTGTTGAGTTTGGTAGTTACTCTGCTCTTAATCGCGATAGCGACTGAACATCAAATAGGCATGTATAGATAGAACATGGGTGGCACTTTCCACATCTCAACAGCTTCATCTGCGTCACTGTCAATGAACTCAACCCTATTAACCAGCGCACATTCTCTTGTGTGGCCGTTGCCGGCCAGTCTGCACCGCACCGTCCAAGCGATCGGGCTTTGTCTCCTTGTTCCCTTTCTAGCTGTATGAGCGGATGATGTCGAGGAGTCTTGTGGAAAAGGCATCAGATGGAGAAGGAGGAGCAATTTTAAACGGAAAAAGAACGACGCGTTGCAGCGGTCAGGGTCGTCGTACGGAGGGTACAAGCGAGGAGAAGAAGAAGCAGGCATAATGTAGGAACAACGCAGGTTCCACGACCGAAAACGTTGAGGCGCCTGGAGACAAGTTTGACAGGGTCACGGTTTAGCTGTTCTCGACGAGGGAGGTGACTCTCGTGGGCAAAAGCCATTAAAGAGAAGAGGGATCAGAATTGGTGACGATGAGATTTGCTGGCCACTTGTCAGCGGAATTGACTAGATCTAGTTTGTTCATCAGTGGAAGACGTTCGTTTTATGCCAATACTTCAATCTGCGAAATCGACAGATAGATTCAAACAATGAGGGTCCCAATGGATGAAACGGTTGTCGGTCTCTTAACATCCTTACGCGATCCAGAAAGCCCACTTTGTCTTTCAACCGGCAGAAGTGGGAGATAAGGGGAGGGCGACAGGACTCGTTAAGAACTCGTCAACATGACCGCCGGAGGTCGATAGCGTAAACAACATGACCTTGTCAAAAAATAGCACGCACACACGTCATCGGCGAGTCTTTAGGACTGTGAGGGATGGCTCTCAAAAGCGGACTACCGATTCAACTGAAATCGGTTGGCTGTAGTTCCAAAAAATTATGTCGCAACGCGCATGCGAGGGCAAGAGGGATTGAAGTGGTCGTGATTGAGTGCGCAGCCTGTCCTTGTCCTAGATGAATAAGCGCCCTCGGCAAGTCGCATGTGACAGTCAACCTAGCCCATTTGATTGGATGACAGGGCTGCTCGCCTCAGCCTGCGCTCTTTCCTGTGCCAACCGACCGAAAGGCTTCGACTCTTCAAGAGACCGACATGACACTGTGCTGATTGATGCGAGAGCGCTTGCTCTCGTCTGTAACACATGGGATCAACCGATAAGGAGGCCACGAACGTGCAGAGTCACGAACAGGCCAACCTGCACGGTAAGAGCCTCGAACGACGGGAACGCAGATTCATTGACATTTTCTAGACAAACGACACGCCGTGCAGAGCGAGGACGGCGAACGTCCTCACAAGATTCGCCGCCTATCAGACCTTCAACAAGCCTCTCCGGATTCACTGGTGGAAGACCTCGCTCCTGAAAGCCCTCCCGAGATCCCCCCCTCGAAGCTGCACAGTCAGCTTCCATCTCCGTCTGCCACAAAAACCGATGAGGTGAGTGGATGCAATGAACGTCTCTACGGTAGCAAAGATGCTGACAAGGTGCGACAGATACATCACGAATCGTCTCCTGCCAACTCTCCCGTACCAGAACGAAAGACAAGGTCGCCGGATAGGCCCACCGAGCGCGCATCCGCGAAGAGAGCCCGCTTGCCTTTAGAACCATCGAACAGCGGTGCACTTGTCGAGAAGTGGCTATCAAGCGTTCTGCCTAGCGAGGAATACGCTATCCAAGACGACATGAGTCTGCCACCCTCGAAACGATCTTGGTCCTCAGATTCGTTAAGTCGTCGACTGTCGCAATCCGGCGACGGCACGGAATCCACGGTTTCAGCAGACAAGAAATACTCGGCCTACAAAGATGTGAACTACCCGGTGGTCTTGGAGACGAAAGGCAGTTTTATGCATCCATCTGAAGCTGGTCTCGTGAAGGAAGACAAGATACTGTGCGAGAAGCTTCTCTACACGCACCAACCGCGTCCCGATCATTCGTTATTTGATGACCGATTCGACAAATTCCAGACTCTGATTAGAGGCCGATCCGAAGCTCGAGTCTATCTCGACCTGTATCCCCTCCTCGTCCCCTCGGTTGAAAACCTGTACATCAGTGGTCGAGAAGAATTTCACGGTCTGATCGAAGGTCACAATGACCCTTGGGTCAAAGGAATTTCGTTCTACGGACCCCGACCGCAGCCGGACCGTACATACGGATTCAAATGGTCTAACTTTACCGAAATTCAGCGCCGGAAGCTCTGCATCGAACCTTTGGAGAAGTCGTACTACACGGCGCGCGAGGACATCTATTTTCCTTTCATGACTAGCGAGGTGAAGTGTGGGAAGTAGGGGCTTGACTTGGCAGATCGACCGAATGCTCATAGCATGACCGTTGCACTCCGGGGAATCGTGGACGTCTTTCGCAAGGCCAACCGTGCCTCGGAGGTGCACAGGAGGGCATTGGGATATTCTATTTCACATGACGACCGGAGCGTACGTATCTCTGCTCATTATCCTGAGGTGCAGGGTGAGAACACGTTGTACTATCGCGAGACGATCAAAGAACTCAACGCTGGAGATGAAAGGGGCGAAAATAGATGGATCAGTCACCAATTTACACTCAACGTTTGCCAAATTTTCGCCCCGGCTCTGCTCAAGCGACTCACCGCCGTGATTGATGAGCTGCCTGATCCGCTTGCAAGGACACTCGAACCGGCCAACATCGATGACCTCAGCGTACAAAGCTCGCAGGATGATAGTAGTGCGCCGGAATCTCAGGATGAAGGGTTTCGCAAACCGCAGCGAGGGAGGGGCTTGAATGCCGAGTTTCGAACCATGATTCAGAACCTGCAACGGCAGCTGGAGCAACAACGAAAAGACTCTGAGCAGCAACGAAAAGACTCTGAGCAGCAACGAAAAGACTCTGAGCAGCAACGAAAAGAGCTTGTGCAATTGCTCAAAGATCAGAGTGACCAAATCAAACAGCAAAATGAACAGCTTAAAGAGCAGAGCGGACAACTCAGGCACCAGAGTGAACAGATCACGGAGCTTCTTCTGAAGCAGTGATGCGTCTCAAGTCTTTCCAGTCGTCATATCTTCTACTGTTCAACATGGCGTCAAGGTTTCCCGCCTCCTATGATGGTCAATTTTCTACTACCACAGCCTGCTGATCTGGTCAAAAGGAGAACCGAGAATCAAACCCAAGATCACGTCGATCAACTCTAAGCTTTCACTTGAGCGACCGGAGGACGACGAGGTTCTAAGAAGCAAGATAAATTGCGTTACAAATCCGCCATTCGGCGTGTAGATGTATCTGTTTCTCGGGACTTAGCCAACTATCGTGTTTACCCTGGCTACTTGAAGTTAGTCTTCTTAGTGGCTGCAAGGGCGTAATCAAGCAACCTTTGCACCGTCTCTTCCGATGTCTCAAAGTCACTCCTGTTCTTCGCATTTACGGATCGAAGGCGTCCATTGATTGGATACACGGACGCCAGATTGTAACGGGCGCATAGCCCCTGGGTCATACCCATGCCGATGCGTGATGGCATCCTTCGTGCAGCAGTATGCGTCATTGAGGTCGCTGGTCTGCTGAATCGCCAGCCACGACACAGCCAGGGGTCGACAATCCCGAGAAGTGAATCTTAATGGCGCCCGACAAGGCTTGTGGAGCAGCTGTGAACCTACTAAACTGTGCCGGTATAAGAAGGCGCTCTGCCCCTGCTCTTGCCTTCGTCCCTCTTGATATGTTCAACCCCCTATTCGCACCGCCATTTCTTAACAAGCGCAAAATGCAGACTATTCCCAACATCGATTATTTTCTCAACGACGCTGATCGCGAAATCCAGGTCCAACATGATTCGGTCATAGATGGTGCTTTCAACATGAAGAGGAAGTTCTCTTCACTGTTAACGCAGACGCGGCAATTGAAGACGATGATGCTGGCCAAACAGGCTGAACTAGATCGCTACATCGCTCAGTATGGACCCCACCGGCCAGACCTCAAAGCATCGCCGAAGGTATTCGGAAAAAGCTCCGACAGCAAACCCACATATTGCGACAGTGTGGGAACGAGAACAGGCTGCTACGCATCCGGAATCAAGAACTGGGCAATGATTTGGAAGCTGCGCACAAGGAATTGGAAAAGGTCGATCACTTGCGGTGCAGCATCTGTATTGTGGCGTTCAAGAATGCCGTGGTTCCGTGCGGTCACGTTGCCTGCAGGGAATGCTTAGAATTATCGCTTGGACAAGGCAAAGGCTGCCCTTGGTGCAAGCGAAGATTTCAAGAAGGCGATCTGCGGGATATTTACCTTGGATCCAGCAAGGAGACCAGTAACACCCTGGAGGAGGAGGACGATGGCGACGACGACGATGACGACGACGATGACGACGACGATGAAGATGAGGATGACGACGACGATGATGAGGAGGATGACGACGACGATGATGAGGAGGATGACGACGACGATGATGAGGAGGATGACAGGACGGATGTCATCTCGCTGAGCAGCGACAGTGAGTAGAACACTACATGGACACGGTTGCCAAGAGGAAGAGAACAGGATGGCGTACCGCTATATGAGAGCAAACGGAAGACCTGTTAGATCCAATCTCCATTCTTGACCGTATCACCTTCTTGTGACGGTCCTTCTCGCCTAGGTCCTCCTTCTGTCGCCGGGTTCTGTTCGCTTCCACAGATGATGGAAGCTCGTCCTCCTGTCCGATACCGTTTTCAGGATTCTATTGAGGAACAAATTCATGCATCTAACGCATAGAAGACGACAATAATGCGGCAAGCTTTTCCGAGTTATATCTTAAGGCCACGAACACGCCTGTGAGAACTACGGTATGAATTCGTCGCGAGACTGCTTGATCGACGTCAGGCTCCGATCGGTACATTAGCTGAATTGGATAGTTAGAAGACTCGCCTAAGATCAATGCTTTCTTTGTCTCCTTCATGCGTTCGCGACGCCAGCCTATCAAGACAGTATTAAACTGATATCAACTAACGAAGGAAGAGTACGATAGTGATTTCTGAAGAAAGAGGAAATACACACGAAACGATCCCACGAACTCCATGTCGTTGTGCAGATTTAATCTCAATTGATCAAGACCATAGGAGGGTCCAAGGCCTAGTCCTACAGCAAGTTCTACATTTATATCCTATGATCTATCCCAGCTACGTACATCTTGCAGCAGTTCAAACCTAGGAATAGAGGCCCTACGGTGGCGTTCAACTGGTTGTCTTCTCCTACTCCTATGTGTACCTACTATTGCTTCAATTACTCACTGACGACTGACGACGCAGAGGCCTTGCTTTCTTCCACATCACCATATCCACATGTCGGACCTGGACATGTCTGAAGAAAATTGGGCCAAAGAAACACCTGAGCCTCGAGCCTCGCGACCTATTTTAATAAGTCTCTTTACTCCTGGCCCGAAGTCAACAAGTAGACCAAGTAACAAGGAAACGATGGCAGGGCTACCCAATTACTACATAGTCAACTTCGTTTACGATCATACCCATATAATTTAATTCTCGTCACTTCGCCCCTAGTCCATCGACTCCCTCTGTACTCGTACTCTCTCGCGGACAGGCCTTTATACTTCACAATTGCCAGGAAACCCATACATGCAGTGACACCTCTGAGAGAGCGAAACGTAATACTCATCCTCATCCTAACGGCGCCGACGGACAGGGCAGATTCTTTATTGTTCGAGCTAATGGTGGCAGCTTCCACATGACGGTAGTGTTGAGTTCGATAGATCCAAGACCCTAATATACAATGCGACAGAAAATCAGTGGAGGGTCTCTAATCAGACATAGTTTGACAGATTAAGATATAAAAGACCCTGAAGGGCATTGACGTCGACTCATTTTGCAGTTGCTCCCCTACAAGAACGTGTCGTGTTCTTTGCATTGCACGGAAAAGTCTCTTCGCGCATGCGCGAGAGTGTCTTCAACCAACTGTTTCCTCCATGGCTGCAGATCAAATATCTGGCCGTGATCGAGGTTCGGACACCACACCACATTCAGCCTGTCATCGTCGGCATGTTTTTCTAGCACGGCCGTTTCAAAATCATAGTCTGCCGGGATGTCATCGCTATGAAAGCTGATACGCCTGGTTTTGATCTTATTATCCTCGCCTCCACCAGTTGCTTGCAGATATTCATAAACGAGGGGTGCGTTGATGATCGAGTCTTTGCCGGCCAGAAAGACAGTAGCATGATGGTTCAAAAGTTCGTTCTTCCACAATATGTTCTCAGACCAGAAGAACGTCCGGGAAAGTGTGTGCGCGACCCCCATATCCTTGGAACCAAAGTACCATAAAAGCCACTCGTTGGCGCGCTTGGGTCTTCGGACAATCTGATTTCAGCGTCAGGTCATGCCGTTAATTCTTACAGGTGTGTGGAGAACAGTCTTACAAAATTATAGGCAACATCCGGTTGGTGAAGGAGGATGGACACGGGGTCGACGAGAATGAGCGACGTGATCATGCTTGCCAGTTCAGGCGTCTTCAAAAGATGTGTGGCAATTACCGAACCATATCTTATGACGACGTTAGCAATAGATGTCGATCGTGATAGATGAACGTACGAGTGTGACACCAAGACGAACCGTTGAAAGCCATGGTGTTTTAAAATGGACTGAAGCTGTTGACACATTTCTTGCTTCCGCGGCAAAGGCGACGTGATCCGAGACGAGATTGGCAGCATCTCAACTGCGAGGATTCCGATGACGCCATCTTCTTCCCGGTATCCTTGATTCAATTCTTTCAGGTATTCCATGTAAGGGTATAAGCCAACGCCGATGCCGTGGAGGAACACGATCGGTGACTTCGCCCGAGATGTATGAGGACGATACCAGTACGTCAGGTTTTTGGCTGGGGATTGACGGGTTTCCAGGAGCGATTGCGGCCTCAGAGGGAAGACGTCAAAAAAGTGGCGATGCGAAGCACGGTAGTGGTGGAAGTGGTGGAGGCGCATGTAGAAATGCGTGAGGATGTCGACAACGAAAATGCACAACAAAGACGTTAACAGTAGCATTTCAAGAACAGAATGAGAGCCTCACTGAGTACCACACCAGGCTTCGATGGAGTGCATTGACTTTATCGAAGGTCAACCGGAGGCACTTGACATCGGCACGTCCGTGCTCGAATTTCACACCTGTGCTAAGTTCGATGCTCTTCACATATTCTTCCACTTCATCCTCGTAGGCATGATCGTTCAGATCCGTGTTGGTAAAGGCCCATCGAAAGAACTCTTTGACGTTCTCGCGCTTGACGGCAGTCAGAGATGTGTAGAAAAACCAGCCAGACAGATATCGGGGGACATCCTGGGTACTCTCCTGACATAGTCGGAACAGTCTCTGTCGCTCCTCTTTCGGTGGAGCAGGAGGATGTAAAGCTGGACGCTGAAGTTGACGTCGTTTATAAAGGTAGAAAACTAGACAGAAGATGGTCTCTGCTAAAGTCCAATATTCAAAGAAGATCGGAAGTCGCCAAGAAGGCGGTAGACACAGCGTCGAGATGCAATAAGCAACACAGATTGGTGCAATGGAATGCAATATGACAATCCATGACCTGACCCAAATATAGTCGAATGTCGATGTTCCGATCATGGTGGAGTGATCATGCGGCTCAGTGTACCCAGGTCGGCGGATTGTCGCTGTAGAACGTGAATACCCTCAAGAGGCTTGAGTGCTAGATCGATGGGAGCGCTCCAAAGTCTAGGTCTTCGGCTTTAAAACAAGTCGTAGATTAACGCTCCGACATAAAGCGCGATATTCTGTTGGGAACCGGCGGGTATAGCACGGACGTCATGAAGCATGTGATAGTTATTTCGGTCACACGTGCAATTCCGGAATCCATATCCGTGGTGTGTGAGTCACATGCGTAAAAGACCAATAGATAACTACAGTCTCGATCAGATTTCACTTTCCACGCCGCTTCTCGCTCCCTAGAGCAACGGCTTTATCGGCGCTGCAAAGCTAACGATTCTGGCCGGTATCATCGATTATGTCGATTCTTTCCTTGCCAGCAGCGCAACTGTATGAAGCAACCAGCGTCGAGGTACGAGCGATAGCAAGGAAAGGGATGTGAGAGTAGTGGTATACTGGAACGCTTATACCGCCGGATAATGGACTATACCCCGCGATATAATAATAAAAGAGACTAGCGGTGTCTAAATTTTGTGGTATACCCGAAGAGAATAAATCCAGCTTTCACTTATCATTGAACATTGCAACTATGTGTCGGCCAAGAGCACAAGCTACCTCATTTTGCCGAAGCTCAACTGTCCTTTGTAACATAATATATTAGTGGAAGTAAGATGTTGGGCACCACGTGTAACGAAAACCTCCTCCTGCTTACCCGTCGAACTACCAGTTCTCCTGTAGACGTCTGCGGCGACATCCAACCTCTCTCGATACCAAAGTCTGTGTCGGTAACGGAGGAGCGCATATATTTTCCCTCTTTTGTCAAGCTGCTGTCATGCTCTCTTTCAGATCATTCTGATAGCGCCCACATCTTTCTATTTCCGCCAACCACGATGACCAGTGCTTTGGGCAGCAATGGTTGATTGTTCTCTCACAGTCTCGGGCCTCCCCTTCTGAAAGGTAAACGATTTCGAGGTCTGTTAACCCTCGTTGATTCATGGCAGTTGTCTGGATGTCTGCATCTCGACGGATATGGATGGCCCTCCAGACGACGTCCGGCAAGTTCTTGGCCCATGTCGTATATCCGTGACCGCGCATGAAGACAACCTTTTGCTCGGGGAGGTCCGACAGCCCATTTTGCAGGTGCATATCCCGTCATGAGGTTGCCGGAATCTCCCGGCCATCGCATCTCCAAGGAACTTGTTGTTGACCAATAAGTTCCGTGGGTACGAGTCCAGTAAACTATCCTAATGTCTAGCAATGTCGAAAATAGGAGGAGATGCCCCCAAAAACCCGGCCATCAGATAGCTGGGCTGCAGCATGCTACCCCAGCTGTTACACAGGCCGTAAGCAATGGCGCTTAAGCAGTGTGAATGAATGACGCTGTGTACCCCTGGATACATATTATAATCGGAGCTATGGGCGTAATGTTCGGACCATTGAGGGTTCTCGTCGACCTGATCGTAGCCGTCATAAACCCCGCCACTGGAGAGCCATCGGCCACGTACCACTGGCTCAGATCACTCTTAGAAGAGACCAGGATGGCCGGAGTATTGCTGATGAAGAATGTAGATGAGTCCCGTGGATTGCGGACGGAAACCTGACCCTCTTTGTCAAGTACACCATGGCTGTGAAGGATATGATACGCCGTTATCAGATCTGACAAGAGTCGTTCAAGACTGTCATCCATTCTGGTGGTCCGTAGATTCTGCATGGCGCGAAGATAAAGTTAGGTTGTAGGTTCAGGGGAAGATTGAAGCGTTGGCTTATGGTTTCACGGTATCCGACTTTAACAATCGTCTGAGTCTGGCGTCTTCTCGAGGTGTCTAGGTGTCGCCGGGTGGATGCTGTTTATAAAGCACGAGTGAGTGGTCGGTCGTCGTATTTAGAACGCATTGTTAGGGTACGTCATTCCTGGGCCTGAAAGAGCCTAGATCTTCCGTCTGCCGAGTCTTTGATTGGGGGAGCCGTTTCTCTACATCTCCACCGTACAGATGGGACTGACTGGTGATAACTTGTGGGAAGGATATTTACTGAATTGGATGATGAGCTGGAGTTAACTTCCTAGTGGTCAACAAGTGGCCCATGTCTGAGCACTTTTGCCGCACGGGCGAAATTCTCCCCACGGAGCCCGGGGGTTATATTCCGGCATGCTTGGCACCGGGATTAACGGCATATTGCTCTCGCCTTAGGACGACTTAACCTGTCGCCTCTTCCTTTTTAAAACTGTTGAGGTGGGCCGGCTGTAATCCCTTGTACAGGTGATGTCATGCTTTGTCTACTTTAGAGGAACGGCTTCAGCCAGCGGGCAAGGTGGGGTCAATGAGTCCTGGCATGTGCATGCATGTGGTAGAACGGTATCCATTCTACAGTACCAGCCAATATATGTGGCTGAACGGAAAGTGGATGAGGCCTAATATCTGCCTCTATAGCATCACATGTTAAACACGACCATGGTCTTCCCTATCGCCATGATGCCGACTACGTGCAGTGTAAGCTCCCAACAAGAATGTTGACGGCCGAATCAATCGTGCGACCGTTCTCATCATGAGTAGTTTATTGGTGAGAGACCTGGAAGGATCGTCTGTAAGAAGAGCAAACCACGTAGCATAGTACTGCCATGGTGGGATCCTAGTCGATTGTGAACTGGGAGCCTTTTAAGGCCACCACCTCTTTCCTAACTAACATGGGAACTCAGGGATACCTCAAAAAATGGCGACTAGGTCCATTGGGATATATTTTCGTAACTTATCACCTTTCTTCTAGACTCTTCCCCAGTCTTCACATCAGTCAACTTATTTGATCTCATGAATCTTCGGTTTGTTTCATCGGGAATTAATTGACCAACCCAAGTTCCAACTGAGCTTGTTCACTGCCGGCTGCCTGAGTCTGGGCAGATTTGTCAAGCAACTTTATCTCATGGCTGGTCCGTTTGCGTCAAGCACGGCCTCCAAGGAGAGTTTCAAGGAAGTGCACATCACGGATACTCCAATGACCAAATACAACTGGTATAAGCACATCAACTGGCTCAATGTCACTCTCATCATCGGCGTTCCTACCTATGGCTGCGTGCAAGCATTCTGGGTTCCTCTTCAGCTCAAAACTGCCATCTGGGCTATCCTCTACTACTTCGCCACCGGGCTAGGTGTCACAGCTGGTTACCACAGATTATGGGCACATACATCATACTCGGCCACGCTCCCCCTTCGAATTTTCCTTGCGGGACTGGGTGGTGGTGCGGTCGAAGGCTCAATCCGATGGTGGGCAAGGGACCACCGAGCGCATCACCGATATACCGATACTGACAAGGACCCATACTCTGTTCAGAAAGGTCTCCTATACTCTCACTTTGGTTGGATGATTATGAAACAAAGCCCGAAGAGAATTGGACGCACCGATATTTCTGATCTCAACGAGGATCTAGTCGTCATTCTGGCAGCGTAAGCACTACCTCCAGGTCGTTCTTTTCATGGGACTTATAGCACCCATGCTCGTTGCGGGTCTCGGTTGGGGTGATTGGCTCGGTGGATTTATCTACGCCGGCATTCTCCGGATCTTCTTCCTTCAACAGGCTACATTCTGTGTCAATTCGTTGGCCCATTATGTAGGGGATCAGCCATTCGACGATCGTAAATCTCCGCGAGACCATATCATTACCGCTCTTATTACCTTCGGCGAGGGCTACCATAACTTTCACCACGAGTTCCCTTCTGATTATCGCAGTGCCATTGAATGGTACCAATACGACCCGACCAAGTGGTCTATATGGTGTTGGAAGTACCTTGGGCTCGCCTCCGACCTGAAGCAATTTCGAAGGAATGAAATCGAGAAGGGTCGTTACCAGCAGCTTAGCAGCTCGACGACTGTATCAAATTCAACCCCTGGGATACGGACAGGTTTTCAAAGGCCATCCACCAGGCCGTCACGATGGACGAAGAGGAAAAACGTCAGAGGTTCAACCAGTTGCATTCGTTTGTTATGAGAAACACAAGGTGACAAAATCTCACCCAAAAATTTGAGACATCTGTTACGAGCCGAGATGGCACGGGGTTGCCAGCACAGAGAACGGCTGCGAGAAAGGCACCCAGGCCGACAGGACTAAGTCACGTGATGAAAGGTGGCTCTGTTGATCAGTGCGGTCTGTGGACAGAGCAACATAGCCAGCAGAGCGCTGTGCTCATTGGTTAGTAAGAAGTCTATATAGTCACGCTCCCTCCTCATGGTAGATAGGACCTCCGTGGTCAACCTAAGTCTATAGTCGGACCCTATGGTTCTTAAATGCTACCGTTGCTATAGACACCACTGTGCCCCAGCTAGGGAACCTACGTGAATGCGCGGACGCCCCAGGGCGTCGGTCCGATTCATAACAACATCTTACTAACTGTATGTCGCTGTAGTCAACGATGGGGACAGACGTTCCTTGATGCACTGAAAAACACAGGGAGAAAACATATTTAACGGACGTAGCATCGAAAATGTTGCCAAAAGCATGTCTTGGCTTGGACAAGTGCAAGAGGGCCTACTGGTCAAGTTCGCACAATGATAAGGTGTTATCTATGAGACGATGACTAGGGACAAATACAGCAGGAATCTTACAAATTGCGATCAATACCGATATTTTGTAACGGGTAAAAACGCATTGACCATTGACTAGGTCTGGTGAGCCCATAGTCTCTTCTGTGAAGAGAACCCTCCCTCTGTCTACGAGTCTTGGACCTGGTTTTTTAGGTGGATTTTGCTTGTGGTGCTAGAACCACGAACCAACGCGATCGCACGGCAACTTTCGATCGTGCGGGAAATCGATCGAAGATCCACGACCACGATTTTCCCAGACGCCTCCATTTTGTCAAGTTGTTATCCTCATCTACCGTCCAATGGCCTCGCTTCGTCGGCCGGGAGTCCGTTTCAACTTCGCTTGGACAAAATTCGCTGCTCGCGTCTGAATCGGGTGACCGTCTTCCTCTCCTCCTAGCCCGGTCTCGTCTCAGATCATCCATACCGCTAGCACGTCGCAATAATGTTGCCGTGAGGAGCCAGCGATGCCCAGTAAGTGGCTTGAGCGCGATATTGGCCAGGTTGTCCGGGTGGACACCACATTCAAAGGCCCAAGCCGCAGGTGATTGGAAGAAGTCCTGTAGGTCATGCCGTACAGGAGAGGGTGCGCGTGGTGCACCCTTTAAACACGCTCCAAGAGGCTCGATCGTTCCTGGTACGCGAACTTGTTTATTTCAAAGCCTTTCTGGCTTAGTGGGAGCGCGATTCTTTTCGATAGGCATACTTCTCATGCCAGAGGGATCTGGCCGTCTGCTGTCGCTGTGAGCCGTGAGCGAACAGCTCACGTATTGGAGGACATGGCTGTGGCTCTCGGTGAGTCTAGCGTGACGCTTAATCCATCTCGCAAAGACTATTTGGTACTCAACAACGGGCTCGACCGGCCGATTCCGCCCTCTCTGCCGGTCTTTGAGCAAAACCCTGTCTCAGACGCGGCACAACACGGGATTGTGAAGGACCAGCTCGAGGCCCTTTAGACCGTAGTCCAAACTGCGGATTTGTGATCGCCATGGAATATTTACCCCGCGCCTTCCTTCTCTGGATTATCAGTATTACATAATCAGAATTCTATTCATTTGTTGTCAACTGTGTATTGATTTCTGGTGGCTGTGGCCACTCGCAGTGATTGCCGAATCCTGTAATGGATTTAGACCAGTTCCCAGCCCTGGAGATATGAGAAAACTGCAATTTTAGTGTATGCGAGTTTTCGTGGGTGCAGACCAGTATAAGACCGCAACAAGGGTTGTAACCGAGCTGAACCGAGGTACAAACGCGCATCTCACCTAGGATCTGCAACATGGACCCTGCAAATCTAGTGCATATGAGCCGACAGTACTCCGTTGTGGTCTCATGTTGGTAACAGTTACAATATTTGTACCTGACATATATGCGAGCGTTTTCGTTCTCGCTTTCTCTCTCTTCTCGGATCACCATTTTGGAGGGAGAGGCCTCATGATGGCGACAACAACTACAACCACGACAGACAGCCTTTCGACCGAGCACCATGCTTCTATCAGTCTTCAACCACAGCAGGAACAACCATCGCTTCCTCCACCCTCGCCACCAACCATCGAGCCTCTCAACACTGAAGCCACTCTTCCCCCTGAAATAGAGCCCAACTACCCAACAGGCTCCAAATTCTGGTTCACCATCATCGCATTATGCGTCGTCTTGATCCTCGGAGGCCTCGATGCCAACATCGTCGCCACGGCCGTTCCCAGCATCACTAATCATTTCCACACCATCGCCGATGTAGGCTGGTACTCGTCGGCCTTTCGTCTCTGTACCTGTGCCTTCCAATTCGGGTTTGCCAAGCTGTATACGCTCTTCTCAATCAAGACCATTTTCATGATGAGTAATGTCATATTCCTCGTCGGTTCTTTATTCTGTGCCACGGCTACTTCATCCAAAATGTTCATTTTCGGAAGAGCATTGACGGGCATGGGATTCGCAGGGGAGCTGGCTGGATGTTTTGCGGTTGCTGTGCAGATTCTGCCAAATGTGAGCAAGTATTTTTTTCTATACATGGTATCTGCTATGTCTCGTGGAACAAAGACACAGTGATATCAGCGTCCATTGCCACCAGGACCCCAAAGCAGTCTTGATCAACGGCACTGACACCAAAGGCATTTTCAGAACAAGCGACCAGTATTTCAAGGTTTAATGGCATGCGTTGAGTCGCTCGCAATCATTTCGGCGCCGATAGTTGGAGGTGCCCTGACACAATCATTGGGGTGGAGATGGTGTTTCTGGTATGCTATTATTCCATCTCACGCCATAATAGATGCATTATCATGGCAGACTGATGCGGATCGCTTCGTAGGATCAATCTTCCTATCGGCGCTGTGGCGCTGATGGCCATGTTTTTCCTCTTCTCCGATCTGAGGACCCGTCCAGAAAGCGACCTCACATTAACCCAGAAGATTCAAGAGCTCGACCTCATTAGCAATTGTGTATTCATCCCATCTCTCACAGCACTCTTCATCGCTCTGTCCTGGGCGGGAACAAAGTATCCCTGGTCGGATGGGAAGGTGGTTGGCTTGTTCGTGCTGTTCGCCGTGCTATTCGCCGCCTTCATCTACAATCAGTACAGACGCGGAGACTCTGCAGCACTGCCTTTCCGCGTCATCAAAAATCGAAATGTCATCGCAGGCTTCATCTTCACCACGTGCACGAATTCCATGACCAATGTCTTGGAGTGGTACTTACCAACATACTATCAAGTGGTTCGTTCCAAAGTAAGATTTCGTCCCCCGATTCACGATATAAGGCAATGCAACTGAATTGACGATGCTCTGTCCTTTTCAGTCCCCAGGCGAGAGCGGTTACCTGATGATACCTATCCTCGTTGGAATGATGCTCGGGCTCTTTCTTCAGGGTCTCGGCACCACCCTATTAGGCTACTACGCTCCCTTCATGGTATTCGCCTCCATATGCATGCCCGTTGCCGCGGGTCTGATGACGACATACAATCTCGACACGTCCCTGGCCAAGATCATACTCTACTCTGGGTTCGCGGGCTTCAGTGGCGGCATCGGCTTTCAAGGCTCCCAGTCAGCTGTTCAGACGACATTGAGTGCTGCAGATGTCAGTCTTGGGATTGGGGTCATCTTGTTCGGGCAGAGTATGGGTCCGGCAGTGTTTATCGCAATTGCACAGGTCCTATTCACAAATCAGTTGCCGTCAAGTCTGGAAGACCTTGTACCAGGCTTGACGCCCAAGTTTATCGAGGAGCATGGCCTTGGCGATATCAAGAATGTGGTCCCCCCGGAGCACTGGGACAATGTCCTGAGTTGTATCGACCAGAATTTGACTCACACTTGGTACCTTACCGTCGCATTGGCCTGTACTACGCTTGTGGGAAGTCTTTTGGTTGAATGGCGCACGGTTAAGCAGAAGCAATCGTGATCTTTGGAACTACGTCCTTCCCGACTGATTCACACAAGGCTGTGCTGTGTCTGCGAGTCCAATAGGAGGAGCTCACAACCATCAATCGTCCGTTCATTCACCCTTGCATCAACAGACATTACTGCCAGACCTCCCACCTGCCAGCACTAACCACCGATATCCACCTCTACCCTGTCTTTATATCAAGACTATATATTATGAATCTGCTAAAGTATCTCTGATAGTGGGGAAGCAACCCCAAACCAAGAGAGTTTTCACTTACCAATATAACACCCTAAACCACCTTAGCTGGGCTTATCACGACATAACCATGAGGGCTGGCTGGCAAAGAATTTTGCCATTTTGGTCGTCCTGCTGTAGGGTTTTGTGATATTTCTTTTTTTGGCTGGAAAGGGACAACCATGGGCGAGTCGATTCGCGAAAAGCTCGATGCTCCGGATCTCGGCGACAAATTTGTCATCCAACTGCTTTGACGTGAGATAGCATGAATTTATGCTCGATTGAGTGCTAGGGATCTTGTGCTTGACTCTAACGTGTGTTACTGGATGCTCTGAAGCCATCATATCAGGCCAAAGCGCAAGAGGACCTTGTGCGGTGAGGCTATTAGATTCGACGGCGTCATAGTGCATGGGACAGTGATGAGCGAGTCACGCCAGACGTACGACAAATAAAAGACAGACCCACCCCGGACACGCTACATCTCATTGCGTAGTATTTGAGAGGTCATTCAATTAAAGGGTAAAGTCATTTTTCAGGGAGATTTGTACCTAGATGACCTATACTGGTAGGTAGTTCGAATATAGCTCTCTCATGGTGCTGTACTGGGCTTTTAACATAGTCAAAGCAGCATAAGCCATGTTTCGCCGCGGTACTCGCTGGCGAGAGATTATGGCTGATTCGACCTTCGCAGGATGATTGCCGTTGTCACGAGTAGACAGAAGAGAGAGCAGACGACATCTCAGACGACATCTCAAACTCCACGCCAAGCGTACGTGCCAAGCACACAACGCCAAGAGAACTCAGGGGAACCGCACAACTATCGCAGGCTTCCCGCACAAGGAACTTCTCTTCCTTATGCTTTGAGTTCTGTAACTAGAGCACCTAGATAGGAAGACCTATTTTTATTGTGTTATCACTCTGCCTATTCCACAGGCCGTTCCTAACAGCCGTTCCGTAAATTGTTAGTATGTTGTGATGCCTTGAAATTGGATTAACCATAGTCAATACGGAACGATGCACGTCTCTGTGAAATTAAAAGACAGCCCAGACTGCCATAGGCAGCAGAAAGGTATCAGCTCATTCTTGAGATTGTTCGAATGGTCAGGACTAGACCAAATTGTCACTTGACAGTGTCAACATAGGCAATTATCGTCCAACCAGAAATGGTGATACCTAGAGATCAAAGTCCATTGTTAAGATGAAGCCCCAATAGGACTTGCTGTCGTCGCGACGCTTGGGCGAGAATGAGCCTTGGTTGAAGAGAACCAGGTTATATCTGTCCAATGCAAGGGGTGCGCCCAGGCTGTCAACGATAGATATGGTCTCCAATTGAATGATTTAAATAGTCTAGAGATGGGCTGTTTGCGAAGCACAAGCCTTAGCAGAGATTGTCATGTAGAAGTATAGTAAGCCACGAACTGAAGCAGACTCTCGGAGAGAAAAGGGAGGTCGTGTGCCAATAGCATGTCAGAATAGGTTGTTAGCGAGACCTTAGGCGAGGACATTGAGCTCTCCGCTGACCGATAAAGGTTCAGACAAGGAAACTTTCTGTGGCTTGCAATAAATTTTATAGACGGTAGTGTCAGAATCTCAAGTTGATGTGGGTGCTCTGAGAACCTGTTCTTACTTTGCTTCTCCTTGTACTTTCTTATTGGGTCGTGCAGTTCTCCTGGAAAAGTCAACGCAACGTCTAATAAGAATAGTAGTCGAGTCATATAAGTAACAGAGATATTGGTGCGAGAGGAGGAAAAGAAGTATGTATGGGTTAGTTAAAGAAACCTGCCCACGACTGACTAGGAGAGCTTGTCTTTGGGAGTAGTCTGATCTCTCGAGACGAGCAACGTAGTGGAACAGAAACACGATTGTAACCCCTCGGGCGGGACTTCTCAAAGTGTACATGCTTGTTGACTGTTTGACCGCCAACGTCTCCTGGTGTCAGAAAAGCCTGGGGATAATATCTGGTCACCTGCTGGCGAAGCTTATGATTGTCGCTAAATGCTTTGACGTGATGTGGGTCGCGAAGCCGTTGATCAGATCTTTTGAGAAGGCTTCGTGTTTAAGAGGACGAAGAGTATTGGATTACCTCAAAGCGAGCTGAAGAATCACTCGACGCTAAGGCGACCTAAGAAACACTTCTGAGTGATCTTTGGCGGTGAATCGAGGAAAGGCACGGGTGAAGAGAGACGGAAAGAAGACCACTTTTAGAATGACTGGTCGAGGTAGAAATGGCCCTGGAGTTAGCCAGGGGTAGAAATGTATCTGGTGCGGAAGAAATGGCTAACGCATCATTCTGATACGGCCGTGCCATGCCATATATCGACAATCTTTCATGGATCTAGCCGAGAGGATAAGGATTGCCCATCTCACTAGGTAGTGATTGACGAGTCAGTAGACCTCCTATCAAAAAAGCGATTATTATAATAAGGACCATATCGAAGAACCTTTATTTCGCCACTCGTTTACAGTATATCCTTTTGTGTCAAAGGTTTTTTACATCGTGGAATGATAGCCAATGAACCTTAAGTGTGGGAAAGAAGTCCTGTTTCCGTCACTGATAGATTGTAATATGGTCGACACCCTGGGAGTCAAAATAGGGAGTCTAGAATTATTCTGACCGTCCTTGACACATCCGCATGTGGGAGACCCTAGAGAGTTGCAGATCTGGTAGCCAAACCACGCGAGGTCAATCGTCCTGAATGTTTAACACTGAGATCGATCTTTACTTACGCAAAAGTCAATTTCTCAATCTGATCAGCAAGTCGATCGAGAATGTTTAGACTGCCATGAACTGCTGAAGGCTAGGAAGGCCATGGGATATTCGGATGACGCCAACCTCCGACTTTACGTTAACGAATGCAGAATGCCCTCAAAATGTTAAGATTTGGAGAGAGGAGAGTTCATGGAAGTGTTAACGTTGGCGAAACTCTATTCTGATGGCCCTCATAGCCATAGCTTACCTTTCTTATTTGCCGAGCGGCTCACTACCATTTGTAGATCGCCCCTTCGTCAGGCTAAAAAAGCTGAGGCGAGACTGACAGCTTGGACCAAGCTTCGCAACAGGCACTCTTCTCCCCAATCTTAGCCTTCGCTAAACCTAGGTTTCTTTAGCGATCACTGAGGGAGTGGTGGTCACTTCATCGTTTGGTAAGACTCCAAGATCACGCTCTTAAGAAACACGTAGGATAGCCGAAGAAATAAATTAAACTGTATGGAAGTTTTTCTTTAAGTTGAACGATTATCACTACTATATTTCCTCGCATGTCACGGTTGTCGATCTTAAATCTTTACTTGTTGATAGCGGCTCTAACTGTGGAAAGCATAAACTGACGGGCCACATCGATCTACTATAGTTTCAGTCTCGCTACTATTTAGCTCTGTATACCTTCGTCAAGATCATTTTCATCTTCATTCTCTTCCCAGAGTTTATTCTCAGAGGTTGACATACAAAGGCATTACTGCCTACAAAATACGTCAATTCGGCGATTTCCACGCAAGCTCGCTGTGGAGTAAATCACTCTCTCGGACATGGTACAGATACATTTATCGTGACAATCGTAGATTGTGAGTCGTACGCCCCATTTGCCAGCGAAACTTTGGCCTGTTGGCCTGCAGAAAAGCCCGGCAGGTGATATGACCGGCTTGGATCTTAGGTGCATGAGGCTAGAGGGCAGATCATTGCTATAAAGGAGAGCGCGTGCTTGGGATAGTTGTAAAAGGCATAGAAGGCTGACATATCGAATAAGTCTCATACTGAAAGAGGAGACTAAAATCATTGTCTGTGTGCAGAGAAAAGAAGATAAATATGTGAATCAAGTACGGAGTAAATTGCACTTAAGTAATTATGATAGAAGAAATTGAGATTGGAGAATCATCGAAGAGAAGTTCGAAGACAAATTTCGTGAGAAATCAAGTTTCGATTCTGATTGTCGAAACATATAGTGTGAATAGACACAAAAGAGATCCTCGGCTTAATTAGCCACGAATTACTGAGGTAGAGCAAATATTAGGTGGTGGGCACTTAGTTATTCATTCATAGGGTTAAGACTTTGGCCATCATCGGACTGCGGAGAGATTCATATCAGAGTTTTGTTGAGGAAATGAGATTATGGTCAGGCTCGAGATGTTTTTCCATCAATTCGTTATAACATCTTCACAAACATGGCTCCCATGCTGCACATATATATACACGCTCTCACGAGGTCGAAAAGCGATCAGAGCAGAGAGGTCTAAACCGATCAGGCCGATCGAATGGAGGATGGCAGCCCAGGTCACAATCCAGATATACTCAGTGGCGGAATTCCCAATCATGGCAAAAATATTTACACAAAAGGGCAGAACGGCCGAAATCCCTCGGTCTCGGGCTGTCATATATGAAAGAACCCAAAAGGCCAAATTTGTTGGGAACGGCTGGATGAATAAGCGTTACAAATGAACATCAATGCATGTGATAATACCCTGGTTGACGCACGAAAGCAGTCCGATGTCTGGAGTTAGGTACATGAAACCCATGTGAAACTTTCCCAGGTCGAGTAAACACATGCCACCGGGGCGCGGGACAATCTTCCTAGCGCAGTCCCCCAATTCTATGCTTCGAAAGCATGCACCTCGGGCGACGGGTCACGGCTAGGACATTACCTTGCCCGTAAGCCAGCTGGAGATTCTCAGTAATCCCCCCTGATCCTCTTCCAGATTCTCTTTCAGAGTTCTGCAACATATTTTTATGATTTTTCTGGCACTAGCTGTGGATGTTGTAGGTCTCGATCGAGTGTGCGCCTCCGATGACCACTCGAAGAAGGGCGGCTTACATTGTCCTGGTCAATGATATGGTCTTGTTATACCACGTAATTCGTCGCTCCTCGCGTCGATCGCCAAACCAATGCAGGCATAAAGCCAGAGACGTCATCTCAACGTCGAGACAATACTGTATAGTGGGTCCTACGAGTATTGTTCGGCTATCTCAAGGGCCTCGCAAACCTACTACCACACTACTACCAAACGCTTATAACATGTGCCATTTCTCGGAATCCGGGCACGTTGGCGTGGAATGCAACTTTCGCGGCCAGGAATCCTTTCCTCCTATCAACCTAAACAATACTGTTGAATTCTACCCCCGGTTACTTGGCGCTGCCAGCAAGTTCGGAGCTTTGCATTTTCTCACTGTCACGTCGCTGCCCACTCTCCGAGCTCTTGCTCAATTTCTGGTGGTGCGAAGCATTCGCATCTGATTCCACGTTACTATCGCCCGGTACCGGTGAGGAGAGATTCGAGATGTCGCCGGGTATGGGATGTTGCTTCCCGGTGCGTGGGCGTCCAGCCACAGAGTCATTACTGGCTTTGGACATTGCGAAATCTCCCGAGTCGAAGAATCTGCGTTCCTGAGAAATATCAGCATCGGACAAGGGATTTCTGGCCAAGGGAATCATGGACGATGACTTACTTTCACCTGGGAACGTAGGAGAATATCTTGCTTTGGCAGAGTCCCAAATCGTGCGTAGACTTGCCTTTCATGTTCGGTAAGAGGCTAATGAAGGTTAGTGGAGGCTTCACATTTTCACCATAGCGCTTTAATTCACCTCACTTGCATCTTCCTGTTGCGTTTTACGGGACATTTCAATCGAGTTTCACCGCATTAACGGATCTATGGAAAGCTTGCCAACGTATAACAATTCGAATTTGATTTAAATACTCTCGCAGTCGTCTTTTAACATTAGGCCCCCAGAAATTCGTCATATGCGGCGTTCGTTGAGGGGGAAGGGGTAGTCTGCGATGACGTGGAATGATCTGGGTACTACACGTGACTCCAATCTCTCGGTCTGGCGGGAGCAAAATACGAGGGCGCAAAACGGCCAGTAATCCCCCGTGGAGGGCTTTCGTCACTGCAACAGTGCGTCCGGGCGACAGCTCTTCACCTGACTTGCACTCCATCCAACTACCTTGACTGGGCCGACTGTCAAGGTAGGCTAGTTATATAACCTTTTCAAGACCGCTGAGCTCGACAGTGGTTATGAGAGTATATTTGTGAGCTACGTAAAAAAATGCTTTCAAGACTACGTACAGTACAGATCATAATGAGAAAGAAGTCGTGAGTACTCTCCTAGACAAAAAACCGGACAGACAAGCCAACAACTTTAGAAGTATTAGCCATATTAAGTCTAGTCGACTGTACGCCTTTATCACGCTCGAGCTGGGCATATCATGAATCAGTCTTTCAACCGACTCTAGGTTGGCTTGTAGCTTCATCTTCCACCGAAGTGCCTCTCGTTTCAATCGTTGCTCATGATCAATTTGTACTTGACGGTGATCTTGAAGTCTTCTTGCATGTGCAGCAGCTTGGTACGCTATACTTCGTGTTCGGTTGATGACCCGTTGATACTCCGCACGTTGCCTTTGCTCATGCGCTTGTAAAAGAATGAATGTATTGAGACTGGCGGCATCTTCAGATCTTTGGCAAGCTGATTTTGTTCTCGTGCGACCATGTGTGATAGAGCAACAGCGCAGAAAGCGGTCATAGTGTGCAAGCACCACGGTTGATTCGTAATTACCCTGATCTGGAAAAGACGTTAATGTAAAATCTGCGGGCTAGTCTCATTTATAGCTCTCTCATTCTTTCTGTCGTGCAATGCTTAACAGGCTATGTGCTAAAGCCTGCTGAACCGTGCTCAACACCCTCTCAACGCAAGATGAGTATTCATTCTGTGTGATTCTGTTGATGTGGTTTCGATGAACTACCGGGTGACGGATTCTGCGTGAGATTTGTAAGTCTATCGGGTGGGAATCTGCGTACAACCAAGCCGTATCGTGCATTGTTAGCAAAGGACTTCGCGTCGAAGACGATGTGTATATCGCTCCGCAAATAGACACTTTTAGACGGGTCTTGGAGCTTGTCTGCTCTCGTCAAATCAGCGTAAATAGCCCATGTTGTTATCGAACCAATGTCTTTCGGCGCTTGAGACTAAGTGTGCCATACTCCAAATCATCCTTCAAAATGTGTTATCCGGGAATCGCTGTTGATAGACGGTCGTGGCTCCTGCTTGCGGGATGCAATTCGCGCCAGGAGGGAAGGAGATTTCCACGTTAAAAGCTCTAGTGCTCAGAAGAAGAGGTGAGGACATAGTGCAAAGCTATCTCGGTTAGATCCAGAAGAGCGACTCAAAAGATACACTTACCATTCATCGACTGCGACGTCTAAAAATAACACGTTGTTGCTCTTACTATCTTTAGTGATTAAGGTATGGGGGTCCACGATGGTGGTCTGAGGTGAGGAAAGTCTTCCATTTATTGCCATCGATAATGGCGCAGGGAGTGAGCAAGTGTTTTGTCAGGGATACGGCCCGCATCGAGAGGAGGGAGAGCGGAAGGAAAGGTGTCACTGCCAGATTGTTTGATGTGGATGTTTTCAGGGATTCGACGCTCTGATTTTCCAGGACGAGATGTGTGGCGCATACGGAGAGTATACAATGCCATTTCCATTTTGCTCGTTGCTCGCCATCACATATTTGGCCAAGAAGAACGCAGACAACTCGGTGTGAGATTGCCGAGGTATTGCTCGAAAGTGGAAGCCAAGCACAACTTTGGCAGCGCCGCTTTAAGTGATATAAACAGATCAAGACACCAATGTTAGCCTTACAAGCACCCTTTCTCTTGGGTGACTGCAAATGCTACCTTCTGTTTTTGTAATCAGCTCTCGACGCCACAGCAGCAAGACACCGTACGTGGACCACGACCTGTCCCTGGAGTCGCTCTATTTTATGGATTCTCTACCAGCCGCACTGCGACCGGAAGGCGTCTTCGATTGAACAATCTCTCGTCACCAGAATTCCGATATCCATACAATTCGCCGGCCTGCGATCTTCTACTTAGCTTTCGAAGTCCGAGTAGCCGTCTATGGCGCCTGCCCCTACAGAGTAGTTTCGCGACTGACCGCATAGGTGGTCTTGAAGGTCTCCAGGTTCGCCTGCAACGATGTCGCAAAACCATCCGAGGCCTCTGGCGCCCGCGACACCGATGTACCCCGCAATGATTTCCGACCTGAACAAGTTTCGATTACCCACCAAACAGCGACGGAATATCACAACAGCATGCACCGCTTGCCAAAAACATCGTATCAAGGTGCGTACATCTCAAGTGCCGTTTCCCGTGGTTTTCTCTGCAAAGGGTACCGCACTCTGACTGGAGAGCCTCGTATGCATAACACCGACCACTCGCCCCGGCTTCTGTGTGTCCTGTGTGTCTGGGTTCCAAGTCAAGCTGTGCCACTGTATTCTGATAAGCCCGTCTGACGCGGCCGATTGATTCCCAACCAACATCAACTTACAAGATCCCAGCTCATGAATGGCTGCAAATAGTGTGATGACGATACCCCTTGTGCAGCCTGTTTGACGAGACAAACAGATTGTAACCGCGAGACAGAAAAGGATGGCCGCAGGAGGATGGTGTGGAAGGAAAAGGTCGAAGAATTGGAATCGGATCAAAAACTGCTTTCCCGTTTGATGGAAGCGATCCGAAATGGTCACAATGGTCAGGTGGAAAACCTTATTGGTATAATCCGAACGAATACATCGAAAGAGCAAGTCTCCAGCTATATTGCCACGAATTTCCCTCACGCAGCAGAGGAAGGGTCTCCCTACAAGGCAGCAACATGGCAGCGGCCGCCACAGTCACCTGCAAGTCCTTTGTTCAGAGCCACATTAGGAACCGCTAGGCCCTTGTTCAAGGTGCCAGCCAAACCTTGGACGACAGTCACAGATGATGACAGGCTCGTGTCGCATCTCCTATCACTATGGTTTACATGGCGCCATTGGTGCTATCCGTTTATTGACCGCGATTCCTTTGTCTCGGCCATGCAATCTGGACACGAGACTGATGGAATATGCACGGCAGCTTTGGTGAATATGATTCTGGCAGATGCTTGCGTCAGTGACAACACTAGATGACAGATGTAATTACTAACCGAGAGTATCCCAGTTTGATTATGACATTCTGGACGACGATCATGTCCGTCCGTCGGACGAGAAACCCCTACAAGATCTCTTTTATGAGGAAGCCAAGAGATATGCAGAGACAACGGCGCGGAAGAGGTCCTTACCGTCGATACAATTCATGGCGGTCCAATGGATGTTGTAAGCCGAGTGGTATCCTTCTTTATGTTGAAGTCGTTGCTTATCAAGCAAAGTTTAGAGAACAGAGGCATCGACAAACTCGCCTATGCTATTATGCGAGAAATGACCCACCATCTGAAGCAATTTCAAAATCCTGGTCGGTCGCAAGAGGCCAGGACGCCACCTGGAAAAGAGCCAATCTCTAGTCCTCAGCAACTTTTGGCATACACTAGTTGGGCCGTGTTCGTCTCTACCACCGCTGCAACTTTTGCGGTTCGCAACCGGCCTGTGATGGAACCTCCTATCAACTGGCAGGCTCGTCTCTGCCAAGGGAAACCGGCCGACGTGTGGTCACCCTACCCCCGTGTTAGTCCTCTAGCAGTTACCCATCCCAGCTGCTATCTGCATCACCTGAGCGGCTTGTACGAAATCTGCTACCACATCAGTCAGTGTGTTTTCGTCGACGACACTGCGAAGATCAACCCCGTCGCGCGTGACAGTCTGGAAGAGCTTCATCGTGACTTAACGACTTGGTATAACAATCTTTCAGACTGTGTCCAAGTTACGGGAGTCCAGACACCCCATACTTTGAGCGTGCATGCCCAGTATCATTGGGCTGTGTTAGTATTATCAGAACTGACATTAACACTAGAGGCGGAGGATGACGACGACGCAACTCTCGCTCTTCTCTTCCCTGTTATACGAGCGCAAAACATGGGCTCAGCCCTGGCCATAGCCGACCTTGTCCACCTTCAGTCCGTGTACTGGGGCGTCGACCATATACCCATCAGCTTTCTCCAACCAGTCAACGCGGCCTTGTCTGTCGTCATCAACGATCTCGACGGCGATCGGTGCAAATCGTCATTTGTTAAACTGGCTGTAGCCTTGCACGGTTTGTCTCGCCGTTCGGTTTCCGCGGAGAGCATGTTGCGTGTTTTACATCTCAGACTACGTCAACTCCATCTTAAGTCGTCGGACAATTTTAAAAACATGTTCAAAGACGCCGATATCCAGTTTGAAGGCAGTGTTTCTTCACCTGCTATTGGAGTGAAGCCCGCAGGTAAAGCTGCGACAGCATTTGGTGCCGGCCCGATGGCGGAATCTTATGAGGCATTGGTGGAAAAATGGAGCCAATTTCATACTAGAGCTCCATCTTCTTCAGGTTCATCGTCCAGCTGGCAGAACGACTAACGATTTATCGACGTACAAGCGCTACACGGTGGCTCTAACGACTGGCTGCATCGTACGATAGAGATACCGGAAGTTTCAAAGCGACTGCTCCCTAAACCAGAGACACTCTTAAGGAATATGGATTAATTCCTTCAAATATGAAATGGCAGGAATCGCAGTGGTGGAGTGATCCAGGTTTGTCTGTAGAGCCTGCGAAGTATAAGCCTAAAAGGTGGATTGCCATCAGTGGCTAGTTAACAGACAGTGAGCTCTTGGCGCATGCTCAGTCCATCTATATGATGATAGTAATCTTCGCCATTGGAAATTCCTACGTATGTCACTACATCCATAAGTATACATCGATTTTAGTTAGGAGGAAGTTGACATGAATACCGTTCATGATTTCCTGGTCGTAATGTTGGCTGCCTCTGACAGGATCCTCGCTATACTATACAGACTCAGGGAAGGAAATAACCGCGATGTCTGCGTCCGACCCAAGAAGGAGCGATAAGTCAAAGGACAGTTGCGGTCGCTAAGGAATCGTCCAGCGCGCTACTGCAATACCCAGGTGCCGGAAACACGACTCCTGCTTGGAGAACGCTTTGACTGGATCTGTCAGAGGAAATTACGCCAGAGTAAGATATAATGACGTCAGGAACTGTCGTCATGTCCTTCTAGCCAATTGCAGCAATCTATCTGCCGGAAGTCCTCTGATGTTGGTCAATGAAACTTGCAAAAACTTGCCCAGGAAGGCAGCTAGCATTACCATTTCAGGTCAACGGGAAATGGTTGTATGTGGCACCGAGGAAAGGACGGGGGTTCCCAGTAATGAATAGGATCTCATTAGCATAATATCACCTTGTTACCGTGAATCACTCTAGCAATGTCTGGAGACAGAAGCTAAAGAAATCTGCGGCACACAACGGGCCTGATCTCTACTCTTTCATGTATGTAAAGGGAGCACATGCGTGGAACTTGTCTTCTGGTCTCTCTCGTCTACAGGTGGGTTTGGTGGCGGATGCATATCCCGCCAGCTAGACAGACGCGTTTCTTCGTATCAGCGAACAAGCATTCGAACGGGGGCGGCTCATGCTGACGCTGACCACTTAAGCATATATAGTTCGTATGTCGTCAAATTCTCAGACCTTGACCATGTCCGGCTGGGTGTAGAAATTACATCCTGGCAGAGAATTGTTTTCTCGGCATCTGTTCATATCAGTAGCTCTTTGTGATCCTGGCTACTATACGTCAGCCAGCGTGCATCAGACATTGCTGCAGCTTGGGGCTGAGCATGTATGAAGAGTGCTGACCTTTATTTCAGATCTTTAGGCTCTCAATTTCCATGCATGCTACTTGCGTTCAGCGCTATAGACGAGCTCGACTCTATGGAAGATTGTCCAAGTTGGGGTGGTATTCAAGATTCGCGGAGCAGGGTCTTCAAGTGCCTAAGGGTTAGCTAGCTGACGAGCCTGAGCTACCAAAGTTGTGGCACCTCATCGCCGTGGATGCCAGTATGTTGATCAATACTAAGACATCGTCTTGAGTCTTTGGGCTGTTGAGTTCTTTGAGTCAAATCTTCCGCTGGTTTAAGATGTAGGGAATAGATGTCTGCCGTGGATTCTCTACATTTGCTGATAGGTTCTTCGCAGAGATTTGCGAGCCAATGGATTCAGCGCTACTAAAATCCAAGTGACGTCCGTTCGTTGTTTGAGGTTGGCTCATCTTGCCTGTATACTCCTCAAGTTGAGATTCGTTCACTAAGTCAAGACCCTCGTCGCCAAGAGCAGGGTTTAAGAAAGTGCCTGCGTTGGAATCGTGTGCAAACTCCTATGTCAGTGACATATTTAGCACAGCACGTAGATGGTATGCGACGGGCACGCGGATACCTCTAAGGTCCTCATTGTTTCTGGATGCTTCTCAGGTTGGAAGTGAGGTGAACGCGTTAACCCCCGGAGAGCCTCGAGGAGGATCGCCTGTTCTCTTTCCAGCTCGTGGATCATTGCGCTGCACTCTTTCAGTTGTCTGTCGATTTAATCAGACTCTCTAGCTTTCTCTGCTACCGGTCTAGCAGCGCACCTCTGATCTCGACATTTTTTCCGCTCTCGATATACACAATTTGCGTTGTCTTTATAGCACCGGAGACATTGATCCCCTCCGGAACATTTGAAGCGACGGATCTGACATCGAACACAGGCGTGCGAGGTACGTCGCTTCTTGAATGTACTTGTCGAATACATATGAATTGGTGAGCTGGCCGTAGACCATTGGGTAGATTCTCTGAGAAATGACTCGTCGGCCAGCAAACTGACTCCGTGTTCTTCCACGATACTCTTGATTCTTCTTGTGTCGAATCGAAATGTTGGTTCGTGCGGACTCAAATTGAAATCAACTAGTTCTACTAATTCTGAAGGAAAGAATATCTTGAAAGAGACTTATCTGTGCTCAAAAGAGGATCGCCAGTCTTCGTCACTGGCAGAGTTATACATTATGGGACGGTGATATAATTCTGACATCAGTCATGTCGAAGCTGCATTATGTCAACTTAGCCTTCAAGAGCCAACTCCACTATCAAGGATCGGAGTAGCTGTTGAAGAGCTGCTAGTTTTCGAAGTCGTACGCAATTTCGGGGTTCAATTCACCAATGAAGTTCAGTCGTCAGGGTTGCGGAGGTTATCCTGCTTGCAGGGAGGTGAAAAATATCTTTGGATCTGCATGCTCGGAATTCATCTCCGGGTTCCAGATATGTCCAGACTGACCTGGTTACGTCTAGCATGGCCAAGAAGACCAACTTGACCAGCACAACCTGTGGACGAAATTTGGCCTTTGTCTCTCTTTAGCCATCTTGCCGACTCTGTCGAATAAACTCATCAATTCATGTCTCGGTCAGTACAATATAATAAGCAGTACGTTTCGCGCACAGAGTTCCCCCAGTCACACAACAAAGTATCTTGCGAATAAACTCTTGATACCTTTCTTACCCCGGCGAGGCCCGAATCTATGCGCGTTGTTTCTGCTTCTAGTAGTACTCACCGAAACAACACAGGGATTGGGGCTTGTGTCCGCGGGTCTTGTGCGCGATAACCTAACAGAGAAGGCTTTAGGGGGATTCTTCGTAGAAGAAACTCCAATTATTTATGGTGAAAGAGATCTGAGATTTCAGGCTAGATCGGATTGACTGACATCGGACGGAACAAGCATTCTCTCCGGCAGCATATTATAGCATGTTCGGTTGTGGCCAAATATAGATCACAAGATGAAATGATGTACGGAAGCGGCATGGTTCTTGAAATGCGATTTTCCTTCCAAAACAATTCCACGGCAAGCCACGTTATCGGGGCAAGGAATTTGCTCTTGCTCTTGAAAGTGCCGTAGACGACAGCGTTCCGCATGTCTCTGAAGGGAGTGCTTACCGGCATACCGTTTCTCCCGATCTTCTTGGGGGAGATCACTGCACAGGCAGAAGAGACACTGATGTTTCTGACAGGTTAACGGGAATATACGCTCGAAGGTCGATGAAGGCGGTAGACTATGAGTATCATGTACGCCAGCCGCCAATCCGGTCTTTGTAGCTGAAGATATTTCTCTCGTCGATCGTCGCTCCCGTCGTTGACACAGCGCGATCATCGTTGAGGAACATTTTATGTGTCGAGATAGAGCCTTGAGACCGGTGAATACCGCCGGGTCGCTCATGGCCGCTTCCGCAATCTGCCGTCGTTCGGGAATCTTGATCTGTGTCGAGTCCGACTCTAGAGCCAGCTCTTGTGCCTCGGCTGAAATTCCTCTGATCTGCCGCTGGATCGCCTCAACAGGAGCCGTTTCGTCGTACTGCCGCTGACTGCATTTCAATAGAGCTCGCTCCTCGGCTCGAATCGTGCTGTTAACCATACGTTCCAACTTCTTATACTCCGCATGGATTGGCTCTCCTACTGCCATGCGAAGCACTCCGAATTCACGAAGAATGAGGCCGCGAACCCGATCTCGCGACTCTAGAAGCCGACGGACAGATGGCAACTGTCGAACCTGCTGGCTCTGTTCGTCGGTCAGCTTCCTCGGCCGGTTGGGATCGCGAAGACATCCGATGCGACTGGCCGATTTGGCCGCCTGCGGATCGCCGTCCCGGTTCCAGAATGCGTCCTGCGTACTGTAACGAATCATACGAGACAGGTAATTCCGTTCGAAGATAGTTGAAGACCCAACATGATCGAGGGCAAGGTTACGGACGGCCGCGTTAGATTTGGGATCATCTAAGCGAGTGGCCGTGTCAGTGGGATGAACTCTTCTCGGCAGACCTGTTAGAGAAGGCCACTTACCATTGATGGCGTTGCCGAGGGCTCGGCGGAGGCAATACGTGGTCAGCGTCTGTAGGTAGCCCAACGCCTCGCCTAGACGCTTAACCCAGGCCTGATAAACGTTGTAGGTTAGAGCTTTATCTGGCGATGTCTTGACGCCTTCCTTGGTGGCGACAGCACGGCGAAAGACGGGCACGTCAAGCATATTGTTTCGCCACGGAATTGGCTGACAACCCTTTTCCCGCCGCGCCCGCAGACGGAACAGAATGTCGGGTGACTTAAGATCAGGGGGCCCGAAAGCCGAGTCATCGAAAGCCAAGCTGACAACGTGGGTGATGACGCAGAAGATTGGGTTATCGTCTAGATTGAAGGTGTACGTCTTCCTTTGTAGCCGCATTAGCCTCATGGACTTCCTAATAGAGTGATACTCACGGTCGTTTCCGCTTCTGTCGGGACTTCGTCTTTGTCAATTTCACCCCTAGTCGGAGCATGTCGGCGTGAGTCTCGGTGTTCTTCTCGATATAGAGGTCCAGATCGCCGTACGTCAAGTCCAATAAGGCTTGAGGTCGAGACCCGGTGAAAGCTGCCAGCAACAGAATCGCCGCCAACTGGAGACGACGTTGTCGTTCATTGGGAAACCCGTTGATATCCGAGGCCCAGTGGTAACGAATGAGCTCGACGAAATCGTCCGCCTCCATGAGGAGCTTCTCGATCTCCTCATTGTCCATGCCATATTCTTCCGTCAATGGCCCTTCAATAAACTGTGGTGTGGCTTCAGCGGTCTGACATCGTATAAAATTGCCTGTTTTACGTACCACGAAGATTTGTCTCATCACGGCCGGGTCCATACGACGCTGTGTCCACATGATGTACAGCTGACTCAACTGCCGCCAGTAGGTCGTCACCGTGCTGGTTTTCTTGATGGTGAAGGTCTGGAGCAACCAATGCAGGAAGCTTCTCCATCCGAGCCGTGGCACATTCGCGCAGAGTCAGTCTTGGATCAAGACCGACCTTGCCACAGTATCTTTGCAGAGTCAACAGACGTTCGGTCCTATCAGGTCATAGCACGGACTCCTCGAAGAGGCGCTGAATACGAATGATATGGCAGATAGTCTTTGATGCATATAACGTCGTGGGACGGGTCTCCGACAAGGCCTCCTCATATTTGCGAGCGAGACCTCAATTGTGCAGACGTCATCGAGAATGTAACTGGAGTATGAACCCCCGGAAGTCAGGTTGATGGTGGTCAACTTCTTTCGGCGAGGCATGTGGCTCGAGAACACGAGGAGGAAGTCGAAGAGATTGAAGAGGAATCGTAAGAGGAATCGTATGAAGTGACGAAAGTAAGGCCTGCATGTAGGCTGGAGCCGGATCATCACGTAGTCGCCATTCTGAATTTGTTTGTCTCCCAGCGAACGCGATGCTACCTCGTCCAGGACTCGCGCCGAGGGGCCAAATTCTCCTTCAATGGGACTATGGTGTATGCCATTCGGTTTCTGCTGAACTTGACGTCAAAAATTCTTCCACGGGTGCTATGTTGAGGAGGCTTGGTACTGACGCCCAGGGAGATGATGTGGAAGACAGCAATGGTTGTATATCTGCCTCCTGTGTTGTCTTCGGTTTTGCTTTCTTCCTTCTACTTCTTTACCTTCCGGTTTTTCCCCCGCCCCTTCTCCTCCTCCTTCTGCTTCTCTTCTGCTGCTTCTTCTCCCTGTGTCCCTACCGCTGTCGGCTCGGTGGGTTTTGGGAATTCCCCCGGATCAATAGGATAGACGTGATAAATATTGGCAATGACCCTATTCCGTTCTGCCTCGGGTAGGGGGCTCTGCATCAGACTCCGCTTCCCCAAGATTCATGATGGTGTTCTAGTAGGCCGGGTTAGTCGTCTGCGCTCTTTTCTTTTCTTTTCTTGACGGTGAGATCGGATCTGAGGATGTTGTTGGCTATGTCGCTCGCTGCTGAGTGGTGTGATAGTCTTTGTCTTCTTCGATGGCCTCGTGGAATCAAACTCTGCAACTTGGTAGGAGTTTAGTGGCATCTTGAAGTTGTCATGCCCGCTTGTCACCTATGCCACTGTAAGATGTGGTCCATGTGCTTTGATCGAGTAACAGGTGCCTGATCTTCAGGGAGCTGTGGAAATGACCGTGTTGGTGGCTGCGCCGATGTTTTGGAGAATATGGCAACCACCGAATTTGGGGTTGTCCGACAGACGCGGAACAAGTCTAGGTACGGCTTAACACATCCCCACACTCTCACACTCTCACACTCTCACACTCTCACACTC